TAGATGTCTTGCTACACAGCAGGTTTTTGAAACTCTGTCTTTTAAGTCTCTTTGGGAAACTATCTTAATTTTTCATATTGAGTATTTTGGTAATGACTAAATATCACTGCTACATATATTGCTAGTTGTCCCTCCTTATCTTTCTTTCTATCCCTGTTTATACATCCAAGAATTATGAGCAAATTTTAGTCACAGCTGATGATCTTCCATGTCTCTTATCTACTCTTGCAAATTTCTGAATTTCTGTTCTATTTCCTTCTGGTTTGTTGATATGTACACTCTGCAGTAGTGGATCAAGACAGACTGTGTAAGGCACATCTTCACAGAAATGCTGTTTTTTGACTGATTTCCTATTAACAACATCTTGAGAGCCATCACCCAGTTTTTAATCGCCATACCATATGCACAATTGGTTCTAATAAAAATATCATGTAGTACCGATTGTGTCTGTGCATTATCAACAAAATGTGCAGCCCAAAATATATGTGTCAGAACTGTTTGCCAAGGCTTATTTTCACCATGTTCACTGGCTAGCATAAGGCCAGCATCCTTGCCCTGAAGGAGGTGTTTTAAAGGCTGGAAAAATATTTAAAAGTGATAACTGATAATATTGGCTGGTAGAAGAAAAGTAAGAACACATTTTGCTGTGCTTCATAGTCTAGGTAAATTAGAGAGTTTCAATAAGCATTTAAACAGATGCTTAGTTACCTTTTCATTATCCCTCATGAGATTAGTCTGTGTAAGACTCTAGTGCAGAGCAGTGACTTAGGTGATGATAAGTAGTTTCTGGTGAGGCTTGCTGCAACAGTGTAAGGAGCTGCTGTCTGCCTTGTTCCTCTACCAGGTAGAAGTTACTGACTATGTAGTAAAGTCAGAGGACTGTAGTGAATAGCTGATAATTAACCGATTTTTGCACAAAATCCCCTGTTTGCTTAAAAGCTGCCTTCATTGACATAAATAGTGAAGATGGTAGGCTCAGTGAAAAGCAGCACAGATGTGGACATGTTTTCTTTTCTGCCTTTCTCTTGGGGCAGCTCTGGGAGAGGCAGTTGCTTCCAGAACCATCACAGCTGGATTCACTAGAACTGTCAACACCTTTATACAATGAACTGGAAACTAAGCATGTTCATGAGCTAAGCGTGTTCAGAAAACCCAAGGTCATGCATGACCTCTGTTGCACTGCACCAAATGATGCTTGCTCTCCTGCTCAATCAAGATAATCTATGAACTAAATTACAGTAATTTCCATTAAAATGTCCCCTAGAAAAGCGGGAGTGTGTGTGAGCATGTGCTTTGAAAACTTTGCTTGATGATACGTTTTCTTTCTTTCTTTGATCTATCTGAAATAAATGGAATGTGTTAGTGCTATTTAACTTTGCCCCTAACTGTTGAAAATGGAAAAAAGCTGACTGTAGTGTTTATTTTCAAAATCCTACTGCCAAGATTTTTTTCTTCAAGGGAGAAGAATGAAAGAAGAACAAATCTCTTCATTGCTGCTGTGGTCATTATAGTTTATATTCAGTAAAGTAGTAACGTCTCAGTATTTGAAACTTTCTGTACAGGTGGGCAGTGCGAGCCTGATTGCAAGAGATCATTACAAGCAGTTCATGTATAGGCTAATTATTAGGACAGGAGAGAAGAAAGGCAGTTTTGATGTACTTATATATCAAGGGCTAGTGTTATTACAAAAGCTGGTTGAAAAAACATGTATCATGATGATGAGTGTGGCTTTAATTCTTAGGCAGAAGTTGAGAATGTAGTGTAATCAAAGGGTGAATGTAGATAATTTCTGAACTGTTTTGGGATTTAGACTGGCGAGAATAACTGGAGTAATGTTTTTAATCCCAAACTAGCAAAGGGAGAGGCAGAAGGCTGTTATCATATAACTCATGAAAATCTATGGAGAGGTACAAAGATACCCGTAGAGCACAACATCCATTGTAGAGTGGTGCTTGCTCTTCAGAGAGTAAAATTCTAAGATTATATTGAATTAATTTTGAGAAAAGAAAAAGATAAGCATTTGGAAAAGACTGTCCCATAATGTGGCCTACTAAAGAGGAAAGTGAAACAGTCAGAATGTTCATTGCATATATACGGAAATGAAATAAAATAATGAAACTGTGCTTTACATTAGAAACACTTTTACAAGTCCTGTCTTTGGTTTAAAAAATGAGGAACCAAATTTGTGAAAATGTAATCAATCATTTTTCCTGTTTGGCAGATGAGAAGATAATTTTCAAATTTAGAAAGATGACTCATAGGGGTTTGAATTTATGGGAGTTTCTCTTCAGAGTAATTGAAAATGATTGCCTGAGAAAAGTTAATGTAATTAGGCTCATAGTATACTTCCAGGTTTACCATAGACCTTTTGCTTAGAAAGTTAAGTTGGCACAGATTTCCTTTTCTCAGGCTGCAGATGTAGGAATCTTTTTATCACAGCTGATATCACTTAGTTCTTTTTTCCATTTGTACATCCAGTAAAGATTTAGATGACATCTTTATTAAGGAAGCAGTGATTTTCTAATCTTTGTGGGTAATCCCTTCCTCTCACTTGAGGGCAAAGTAGCAAAATCTTGTGAGGAAGTTCATCTGATACTTGTTTGTTATACACACACTTTTCTCTGGGACTTACTAGCTGGTATCCTCTAGCCCCAAACTGACACAAGTGTCTGATATGTTTCTGGCTATGGGTTTAGGCAGATACAGGTGTATGTGTGTAACAGTACACGCACAATCTCAGTGTATCACTGGATAAAAAGTATGTTTCAAAAAGGATATATTCATTCTATGGACCTATGCATCTGCACTTTGACACATGTGAATCTGAGTTGGGAAACTAAAACTCATTTTGCAAAGGTAAGTATACTTGAAATAGATATAGGAAAATATTTAAATTATCTGTCATTCAAACACAAGGACCGCTTCTTTTGTGGTGGTGTTTTTTTTTTTTTTCTTTTTTGTGAATGTATTCTTAGGCTTAATGATGGTGGGGGGGAAAGGCTTTAAAAGAAAGTCATACCAGCAAGTCAGTAGGAAATACTAATCTCTTCCAACACAGGAGCCAGTCCACTAGAGAAAAGCACAGGGATATAATCAAGGCACTAAAACGGCATCATGATTATTGTCTTTGACAACACGATGGGTCTTTGCATGTAATGTAAACCCAAAATTGGACTATGCTAGTGAGATTGAGATAATGGCAATTAGGAAAAAAAGGAGGTAAAGTGGTTTTGAGTGTCAAATTATCCCCTCCTGAGCCTGATCAAATGCCCACTGTAACCAGTGCAGACATCCATTGACTTTGGTAGGTACTGGATCAGGCTCTGTAATTCAAGTTTTTCCTGTTGCTTTGTGGTGTTTATTTTATCAGACTGCTGCCAGAGTGACCTTTAGAATGACCTAAAGTAGAAGTCAAATTACACTTATGACTTTTCTCTTATTTTGTTTTTTATCTGAGATAAGAAAATCTCGAAGGCTTTACTCACAAATCAGTCATAAGTGGGGGGAGAAGAAACCGCTTCCTCCCAAAAAGGGCAAAGAAAGAACACTTTTAAGAATGAAAGGCATCATAAAATGTTTCCCCAGGAGCCAGAATCTCTTCTCCTTTACACAAGTTGTAAATCGGAAATGGCATGTGAACCATTTTGGGTCATACCTCTAAGAATGATGTAATAGTGCTGACTTCACCTTTGCATAGCATGAAGGCCACGCGATTCTTTTGTATATTTTGAACATGCTTTGTCACAATTTTTCACTAAGGCAGACCTGATGGGCATTAGTGAGACCTTGTGTGAGAGTTCATGATAAGTTCCAAGTGTCTGATACTGCACTGTCTGGCAATATTGAGATTAACACTGATCTTCAGCCCTTTCCTTTTTCAGATTCATACATCTGTAGTTGGAATCTGTCTTCTTGCCTTGTAGATGCATGAAGGACTAGAGCGAGTTTTGTGATAAGCAACATGGAATATGTAAAATCTCTGTGGGAACCTCTGGTCTATATTGTAGTCTATATTGTAATAGTAGCTACATAGTAATGGTATATGTAGTAACTAAAAGTGCAGCAGGGAGACTAAATTTAAAGTCTGCTGAAGGGCCTCCACAATCTGGGCAATCTGTGAAAGGACTGTACATAATGAATGTTGTCCCTCTTTGAAACCAAATGCTTAAATCTCATTTTCACTCTCTGTTCTCTCAAACTGAGGTTGTCAAATTGGTGCCAAGTAAGACAAGTTTATAATATATATTGTGTACCTTAGAAGTTGGTGGATGCTAGTTCCACTCAATTTAACTGTGTTGCTTTTGAGGACAATTTGTTCTGACCTGGAGTGTGAAGCCTGTATATGAATCAGCTGGTTTAAATATGTCACCAGAAGAACTTATATGAATGATTTTCCTATTAATTCAAGCAACTCCAGGGGGGTGGGAAAACATGTTTACACAGAACCAGTTAATGAGAATATTGGTACACCTACTGCTTGATTTCCCTTCCCCAATGCCGCTGAAGAAATATCTTATGTTTAAATTACTTGTCTTGGACCCAGGAGAGGTGGGATCCATTCTTGAGGTTGTTTTTCAGCCTTTCTATAAGACTTTGGACAGATCAACTCTCTTTTCTGTGTCTTTTTTTTTTTTTTTTCCTGATGTGTAAAATGGGGATAACTGTAATTATCTATCTATTAGTAAGTTACTTTTTGAAAGTATTGGAGCTTACAGTCTCAAGAAAGTGTGAAGTATTAACAAAGCAGAATAAGATCATCATGCTGAATAACACATTTGAGAAAATTGTAGCCTTCTGTTTGAAAGATGCACTTTGATTTGTTGTTCAGGTGTAATTTTGTCTATGCATGTATATCCAGCATTTTTCATTTTAACTGTACAAATTACCTATGTAGATTTTATTGATAAGAGCTCTGAAACACATGTGGCCATGCAAGTCATATAGCATTCTTGTCCCTGACTGGATAAGCTAACTCTTAAATATAAAGGAAAGATGTTTTCATTTTCCATGAAGAAGTAGAAGATTAAGACAACTTTAAACAGTTACAGTTCTTTTTTCTGGGTGGATTTGCTAGCAAAATTACTCACAAGTTAATGAGTAAGGCTGTATTCATTTAATTTATTTTGTACAAAGGAATTCTATACCATTTTATTTGACAGCTGTGAGGTTGGGTATTTGGTTTATCTGAAAGCTTTGGAGCTCTGGTAAGGTATTTAAAAATTTAATCCAGAGTATGGAACAGAGAACTGTACTGGCAGGCAAGGGAGGTAAGCCCATATTCTATATTTTAATTTGGGTGTAGAGTGTGTCTTACAAATAAATAAAAGCTATGTTTACAAAGACACTATCCTCATACGAATAATGGTTAAATTAAAATGCGAAGCCAAACTTGCGCAAATTTACTATGCAAGATCTACCTGTGAAGTGCTTGGTATATTCTGCTATTAGAGAGGAAATATCCAATCCATATAAAAGCAAGAAAACAATAAAAAGTCATTAGTTGTGTTTTGTGACCTCTCAGGCATAATTAGATGTTGTCTGAGTCACCTGTGCGGTGTTATAAGGAGGTATGTTGCAGAGAATACAAATACAGAACACTCAGGCTGGTCATAAATAGTTATGCCAATTTTGATTGTAGTGCAGTTTTCTGTATATATCCTCCAAGGTACAGTAAAAAAGAAGTCTACCATTTTAATGAATGTTTCTTGTGTTTAGAGAAAGACGATATAGTCAAGCATAGGTCATCTATAGCCCTTAGTATCAGCTGTAGCATACATGCCATTATATCACAATACCATTTTATCCCTCATGATCTTTGATCAGTGCTAATGATCAAAGTTTGCGTGGCAGCCAAGAGAATCATGAGACAGTAGATATTTATAGCTTATGGCCAATTCTGATTACTCTATAGCAGCTTTCCCAGTGTTCTGTAGTTTGATTGATGTCATTGGCATGCTTCAGCATTCAGAATATATCAAATAAATTTGCTATGCTTTGAACATGAAAGGGAAGTAAAACACTGATAATTTAAGAAACCAGAAAAGTGGGGGAGATAGGAGGTACACATTACTGCATGTCCTTTGGCAACTAACACCATACAATGCTTAGCAATACAGTGCATGCATGCAAATTGCTAAGCATCCTCTTTAATGCAAGGCTTTACTTCCAGTGTAAGAGTGTTGCTATTCAAAGGGGCTGATAAATGAAATCTGAACTGCATATGCTGCAATGGAGAGGAGGACAGGAGCAAGAGACAGCTGGCTAGGGTGAATGCTTTACAAGCAGAAGCCTTTCAGTTCCATCAATCAGACAACGTGAAAGGCCCAAATCCAAAGACACCAGCATCCCACCCCCTTTGATCCCGATCCTAATAGTGTGACAGTCACTGATGGAAATGCATTACAAAGTGAGAATGGTCCATTTTGTTCCTTCCTTTTCTGAGAGTCTGTATTTATCAGATTTAACTAGTTAATGATTCTGCCCTCTCTCTTCTGCATGCCACGAGGAATCTCTCTGCAGAGGTGACAATTGTTTATAGTCAATGGGCAGTTAAAGCGTAAGCAATCCATGGGATCTGTAGGAGCTGTTTTGCAGGTCTGAAAGCCTTGCAAAGGGTTAAGCATCAACTCGCTTCAAAATCGATGGCAAAATTATACATATGTTTTCCTCATTGAGACAGTATTTGGTTGAGACCTACGAGGCCATGCCGTGGATATGTGGATAGCATATTGATTCTAGTGAAAGCGAATGTTGTGGTGGCCTTGTGCTGAGGCTGTGGCTCTGGTTTTAGGAAATGTGTGTTCTGTGCCTGTCCCTACCTGCAGCCTTTGTGTCTCTCTCAGCGCTTTCTGCCAACAAGAAGCCCAAGGTTGCCCACCAAATAAGGTTTCCCTACTTGCGAGTCTACAAGCACAGTTGCAGCATGTCTTTGAGCTCACATGGCACCTTGTCTGCCCAAATACATCAGTCATATCACCACGTATAAATTACCTGTGAAGACACTTAGGTGGACCTACTGAAGAGAGGTAAAGCATGCCCTGCTCATGGATATGCCCAAAGATGCTCTGGGCAGTACCAACTATATGGTCTCAGGCCCTTTAGATTTTTGTGGTGTAAGCTGCCCATGTGCAAAATGGGTGTTACAAAATATTCCTTTGTCTGTCATGTTTGTGTAAGCTTTTTTGGGATACCTGTATATACCTAGTACCTAGCTCAAGGGCTCTGATTCTAAGTCCTACAATAATGAAAATAATACTTCTGTGTGAAGAAGTGCTTGTGAGACCTGTCCCTCTGTCTGTAAAAGTCACTGTCTCATTTTTTCCAGTGTGTAACATCTTACTGTCAGGCTTTCTTACTGATGTGCAAATGTGAATGTTTGTGTGATAATAAAGAATTGGACAGTACACTTGGGTGATCTCTTTTGCTTTTTTCTTCTTTAAAAGCAATTTTCATGGCAGTGAGTATTATAACAATAGAGTTAAGCTATGTCATTAATTTCCATAGATGGTGGATGGAGAATGTTAAATTCTAGGCACCTGAGTGGATCATCAAACTCTTCTACCACATAATGATTCTAAATAATCATATTCATCATAATTAGTACCGTTAATAATGTTAAAAATAAACACTTGTACCTCAGACCATTAGTAATAGTAATCTTGTCATCGTCCATGAAAATTACTAGACCTGGTTATTTTTCACAGTGGGGCACAGATATGAGATATATAATTAAAATATTAATTACATATTTGATAGAGCTTTGACTATCATTATTATATTACCATTGGCCTCATTATAATACTTTCAATATATTACCTTGTATATATTGTGTTTAATAAAGTGTTAAAAAGTGACTTTGGGTTTCTGAGATCAATATATGTTAGAAAGAAAAATGTATGTGAATCCAGAAGTAGGGAAGAAATGGGATTCAAACTGTGGTTAAATGAATTTCTGTCATTCAACCCTGTACTGAGAGGTGACACAAAGCTGACACAAAGCTAATCCTAGTCATAAATCCCCAAAATAGAATTTAAGTGATACTTGTGTGATATTTAATCGTTATTTTTACCTGAATAGATTAAATGAAAAGAGTACAAGTTAGATGAATGGGAGAGATGAGCTTGAGAAAATAATAGTGTATTCTGAAGTTTTTTGCTCTTCGGTACGAGTTTCTTCTGTTAATCTAAACAGGAGATCTTTTAATGTACACAGAGGCAAGGAGTGCTTTTGCATGCTAAACTGAATTAGTATAAGCAAAGAGCAGGTGTAATATGAGGATAAATAATAGTGACATAGCACTTTTTATTAAAAATCATGGTGCATTTAAGATTGAAAAATCTTTTGTCAGGAGTTTATTTTCTTGTTTTCATGGTGTTTAATTGCCCGTTTATTCCTTACCTGTCTGTAATGGAGTTTTGCAGGATTAAGTTTGTCGCTGTTATTTGAAAATGGTGTAATAATTTTTCTGTTATGAACTAATGTTTCACGTTGTTTCAGAGCAGGGCATATTTACTCTAAAAGTAAATACTTTAGAAGGAAAACACAGACCTCAGTACGATGTCTGTATCCATGTAATCCTGAAAGATTTTGAGGAGTTCTCAAAGATGCAGGTCCTGTTCTCTGCTCCAATTCCTTGCTTAGCAACATTCAGTGGATTTCTTGGTACCTTTCAGGAATGGAAAATCTCTGGATCTGAGTATAGTCATTGCCTTCCTTTTACTATGGAAAAGGACAAGAATACATTTTTCCTTTTTTTAAAAGTATTTTTCAGTACTTTTTTTTACTGTTGCTTTAAAACAATATCAAAAGACATCGTTTCCAGATTCAACAAGAATAGATAACAAAAGGCTTCTATTCAGTTTTTTAATATTTTCTTAAAGAAAATTTCGTATACATTTATCCCAAAACACTTCCACAACTTCTGAAGCTTAATGGATACTTAAATAATGAAGTTACTAAACTTTGGTGTAAACAAACAAATAAAGCCCCTAAACCCACATAACCAGGTTATCTTTGAAGGATAGAGGAAGACATTTTCTAAATATAGCACTGTCAGATGACCAAAAAGAGTTCTCTACAATTTCTGCCAATGTTGAGAAGCTTGTTCCACCAACGTGGTAAGAAAGGAGTGAAAGTATCATTTGCTTGGGAGCAGCTGATGGCCGCACAAACTAAGAACTTTGGTTTTCCCTGAATTCTAATTTATGAGTTAAACAAATTAAAGATCCCAGGCTTGCCTTCAGCTCTGTGTGTGTGTTTGCATGCTACCCTAGTATTGATTCCAGGTTAAACTTCTCATATCCTGGTGATTGAGCAAAATCTGGGGTGAAGTAGTCCCATCCTCCTTGTGCTTCAGAGCACTGAGGCACAGTGCCTGTTTTCCCATGAAGATGGCATTCAGGCAGCCAGCTTTTACCACCTACCCATTAACAGCTGTAAGGGTATAATATGGTGGAAATTTTCGTTCAAACTCCTCCTCCTGAATAGTCAGGTTTCCTACTCAAACTAAGTCTCCTCTATTGTACAGATTTGCACACATGGAAAGTAATTTCTTTCAGAATTAAGCAGTAATAATAAAACCTTATAATCTGCTTCACACCAGATATTATAAGTGTGATTGTAAACAAAACCTTATCACCTGCTTTAAACCTGATAGCACAAGCAATGGTAGCACTACGATTTCTTTTTGGTTCAACCCAATTTACTGACTTTATTGAGACAGAGTATGGCTACTTTCCCTCTCAACATATCTGATATTTTAGAAGGTTTTGGGGAGAGGATGCTTTGAATTCTAAACAAATCTAGAGCACTCCTTTTAATAGTGTGGGATATCTCCTCTCGTAAACCATTAACTGAGTCATAGTCAATGTAGGGTAGTCAAATGAGGACAGTCAATATAAGTTCAAGTTTCTGACTGTCCAGAAAGTAATGAAACTCTTCCAACAGATTGGGAAAGCAGCTGATTAACAAACTTTGCCAAAATGCTATTTTGGATGCTTTCTGTGCTATAGATTTCTCTCGGACTAAAAATGACTCAAATTTTTTCAGTATCGTTTTTGAGGCTTTTTATAATTTTTACATTTACCCAAAGCTACTCAAGTATGACATCCAGTGGAAGGGTTTCAAAGTTTAGGACAGAAAAAAGTTTTGTCATTAAATGGAATTTTCCTTGTAGAAATAAGATTATTATTCTCAGTAAATGGAAGATAATCTCTTCCAGATTTCAGAGCTGGCGTGACTGAAGGCCTGGACTTTGGAGGAGGCTGATGAACCTAATAAAATCTCTATGAAAAATTAAACTCTTCATTAGATCCTCCTTGTCACTAAGGCTTATTATAGCCGCTTACTTGGGATTAGCACAGACAGAATGTGTTTAATATGTTATTAAACTAGCTAGATTTACATTAATTTTGTCCCTATTTGTGTTAGTGTATCAGGGAAAAACCTGATATGTTCTATATGTACATGATTTTGTTTTGCTTAAATAAGTTTGGTAGCAGATTTTTGTTATGATGTCTAAGGCATAATTTGAGATTTTAAAATTTAATGTAAAGATTATTATGTAATTCCCATCTTCCCTGAAAAAAAGGAAACTTCATTTTACTACATCCCTTGATACTCTGAGGTATTGCCGTTTAATACAGGAGTTTACTTGGATCGTTTATTGATTCCTCAAATGGTATTGTGGTAATGTGTAAGAATAGCAACAGCATATATTAAAACATCTTTATAATCAGAATAATAATGAAGAGTCTGTAGATATGAGAATCCCAAAGTTTTCCCAATGCTTTAATAAGTACTGAGCTACCATTACAATTCCTGAATTATTCAGAGCTATAATTTGGAGTCACGAGGCTTTAGTATGCTGTAGATGTAGCATTAAGGCTTCCAGGGTCATGGTAGATATTAAAAATTGTTATGGAGAGATCTAGATTGCTAATCACACAATAGCAGAAATGTTGTGTAGTTCCCTAGAATTACAAATAATTTAACAGGATATGACCATTGCTAAGTCCCCTCCCTGCCATACCCCAAAACACAGTATGTGCAGCAATGTTTCTGTGAAAATAAATGGGTGCAAAATGTCCTCAAGTGTATGTCTCAAGAATCCTATAAGCAGTGGAATAAGAGGAGCAGAGCATATACAGAAAAAAGCCTCCTCATGGACTAGTATGACAGTAACTAACCACTACACTGAAGTTATAATTATAATTTTGTCATGAGAGTAGAGAAGTCAAGGTTTCACAAGAAAAAAAATCTATTTACAGGAAAATATTATGCTTTTCATTTGATAGAAAAAGTAATTATTGCGAAGGGACCCATGGAAGATCTTGAAGACAGTCACCCTCCTTTTAATAAGTGCTTGTGGCAGCTAAGTGGGGATCAGGAGTATTCTTTATCAGGTTTGCATTCAAGTAGTACTAAATATATGCAGGTAGGAATTAAATAGTATCTGAGTTTAATTAAAATTATAAAAAAAAAAAGGGGAGAAGAATGGTTGGTAGACTGCTCGACTGCATTTTAACCAGTAACCTCAGACCCTAATTAGAAATGCTTTTCATATCTCCTCCATGCAAGGGCTTAATCTGACGTGAGTCTGTGAGCGAGGGCTTGGGGGACCAGTGTTAATTCTGCATTCGATCTTGGTTTGTATGGAGACAGGCAATGCTGATTGACCGAGTTGCAGCACAGATCCCATGACCTTGCTGGGATTTTCATGTGAGGTGTTAATTGAGAGGGTGGGTTAATCTTTGAGCATCATTGTCCCCGAGCTGAGGACAAAGTTTGTGCTCTCTGTTTCCTTACTCAACAGTATATTTGATCTCTACCTCCTCCCCTTTATAACAGTTTAGCAATCCTGCAGAAAATTCGCTTTTGATAAATTTATTGGTGGAAGATTATTTCTTGCTGGTTTTGTTTGATTTTTATGATCTTGTTTTGGAGAAAGAGTGGTTAACTGGGATTAAACCCAAAATATCCTTCTCTTCACTGTCCCTTGTTCAGTCCACCCCAATGAGACTATCATTTCGGGTGGGGGGACTGACATCTTGAGATTGATTGTACTTGAGAAAACTACAAGTCATGATTTCAAAGTTATTTTGTCTGAGTGCTGGGAAAATATAAGCTCTTTTTATTGCTCCTGGGTGGAAAGCCTAAAATAATTGCAAAAACAAAGAGATATTACAGGGGACAGAGCTTTTATAATAATATACGGGTTAGAGTTTTCATACTGGATTTGTGTAATGCAAGGAAAGACAGCCCTGTAGTTTTGCTTTTTTTTTTATAAATAATGAATGGCTTTTTTTCTTCATGTGTTGTTTTACAGGCCTGTCATTTCCAGTGTAAGAAGTAAATTTTTACTCTGGGCAGGACTAATGTATACTGGCTGACCTTAAATATGACTCCCAAGTGAGCAGGATGGTAGTTAAAAGCGGCAGAAGCAATGGAGCTCGCACAGGAAATGCTGTGAACCAACAGTGATAAAATAGCACAAATGATAGCTGTCCTTGACACGCAAAGGATTTCTCTTACTTGCTTTATTGCACCAGCTGTAGATGAGTTTAATTACAATGCTTCAAAACCAAAACTCCATTTGGAACGTTTTTGCAAAGCACAGGCAACTTTTGCAAAGCCCCGGCAGTGCTCTGTGCCTACCCTCGGCCAGAGCCCTGGCGCAGGAGGGAAGGAGTCCTGTGTGCTTTGGGACCCTGAGGGGAGGATGGTGTTTGGGTCTGGCTGGGTGGCTGTGAAAAACACGCAGTAAAAAAGGGATGCCATGGTTTTTACATGCCTGACTTGGCGGTTGTGTGGCCTTTATGAGGTGGTTTCTACCTAAGTGATGCTCTTGCCTGTCCCAGGATCATTCCAGAGAAGGTCTATGGCAGACTGAGATATTTCCGTGCAGTGTCACAGGATAAAGTGTGATGCCTTGATGCCACCAAGTTGTGATTCAGTGCAGACCTGGCCTTACAACTTTCAAGTTTTCTTAAATAATTCTGTGGAAAAATCACAATCCTTTTTGCCTTTATAGGGATATTGTGAGATTTTTTTTGGTTTGTTTTTTGGTGTTTATTTTTGCTGTTTTTTTTTTTTGTTTTTTTTGAGGAAATGGCACCACATTACAGGAGAGTAACTTAAATCAGCAAGGATTTCATAGCTTCCTTGGCTGGATGGAAAGCTACAGGTCAGCTTTTGGATTTATATCCCTATATAGGTTCCTGTTGTACAGTTTCTTGTAGCAATAGTCAGCAGTCTTCTAAGGCTGTTACACCAGATTGTATTTTTCTTTTTTAAAGTTTAAGAATATTGATAGAAACTCAGTGGGAGCTAGGAAATGCTGGCGTTTGCTTCGGCGTCTATATCTTCCTTTGAAGCGAGGTATTGGAGCCCAGCTCGCCTGAGCTTGGGATTCACCGAGAGCCAGGAGCCGGGAGAGCTGGTGCTTCTCACAGTCTTCCCTCAAGATGCTCCAACTCTGTGATCCTGGCCATGTCTCTACCATGCTTATGCTATTAAAATCCACCCAAGTGTTATCTGGGTAATTGCTGACCACTATCTTAAGCCACCCTGCAGTCTTTGAGGAAAATTAATTTTGGAGTTGTGAAAAAGACAGAAATTTTTTTTCGGAAAGGATTTGGAGAGTTTGAAATCTGGCTTCTATTCATACTGGAATGAAGTGTGACATTTTCAAATTCTTGGCAGAGGAAAATTATCAAAAAAGCTGCCTTTCAGATTGATCAAAATGGTTTATTCTGGGTTGGACTTGCTTGATTTTATAATCTATCAGAAAAAAACTGAAATCAAAGTAATTTCAAAATAAAAAATCCAAAAGGTCAAAACAAATCCCCATTTCCCAAAAACTCAAAGCAAACAGGCATGATTCATAAATCCACTTTAGTTTTGTGAATCCACATTTTCTAATTCAAAGGGAGGTTACTGATGTTTTTTTTACAAACATGCCTAGATTATTTCTAAGTTGCTTTTGAAGGTGCTGCGAAAACTCCTTCAACCAGGAAGCCACATTTTCATCAGTCGGGTGCACCTGCCTCAGAAAGGAGCACCAAAATGAAGCTGGCTTCTTGGGGTCTTTATTGATTTCCAGGATTTGATGAATTTCAGTAAAATATATGCTTATGGCCTGCTTGTTTTGCATGAGAGGTGATGTTTGTAGCAAAACCAACTTATATGGGCTACAGAAATGCAGTCTACTGTTTGTGTTAATCGTAGATGGTTTTTGAAAGGATATCCTTAATCATTGGGGTGATATTAGTATTTTCAAGGTTGCACAATAGTAATAGCTATTTTTTCACAATATGATTAACTTCTGTCTAAATGTAACTGCTTTTTTAAAAGTAATTACTGCTTAGTATAAAAATAATATGTAAAAAGGAGTTTTTTAACTATTTTTGGTGAAACTATGAGATTCTTAAGGACTTAAGATGTTTCCCTAGGTAAGACTCAAGGCTTGTGCCCTCTTCCATTAAGAAAAAGGAAAACTTTGAACTATTCTTCCCTCTTGTCCTTATTGGTGGGTACAGAAAGACCCTGTTTATTCTTTTGGGGTAATTAGGTGCATTTCTGAAGTTGATAGAAGGAAGGATGAGGACAATTAGGAACAAGGTGTAAGATATTTTCCCTTCACAAGCCACAAAGACATTAATGGAAGAAACCAACAGCCCAGTGTGGTGTGCTTGGGCACAACAAGGTACAGGAAAACCTGAGGGCATGCAAGTCTTCAAAGCTGGAGGTGGAAGTAGAGTAGCAGCAAGGGCCTGAATGGATGCAAGACCCAAGAGAAGAGCTGCTTAGGTGTCCAGGCTCTGTGTAGGTTGCAATGATCTGCTGTATCGTTTTGTATGGAAGAGCAGTTCTCCTTTGCTGTTGGTGGAATTAAGTGATGGAGTGACCTGCAGCCTGAAGGTTTGTTGTTGGATGCTGCGTCTCTAAGAGTGTTTGAGGTTGGCCTTTTCTGTAGTCAAAGACGAGACATCTTCTCTATAGACTTACTATAACTCTGTATTAGGCAATTAGTGAAAGTTCTCCTGTGTAATTTTGGACAAAGTACAAAATGATTTGTGTAGCAGGTGAATTATCAGTTTCATCTTTGGGGCATTAGTCCTAATGGTCTTACAGTACTTGTTTGTTGTTTTCTGTCACTGCCTTAATTTGTTTTTTAAAAATACCACTGATTCTGTATTTATAGAAATTGCCTCACCTCATTGCGCTAGATGATCTTGCCAGTTAAAATATGTTTGGCCCAGCATAAGGAAGCGGTCTTATGGTACGTTCCATCTGTGTGATGTACTTTGCCTGTAAGTAATAACAAAAGGCTTCATTAGAGAGCTAATCAACTCCCTCACCTTTGAGACCTAAAGTAATCATGTATTTCATATGCACATCTATAAGAATGAGACTAGTAATCGCATATAGGAGAAACTGTCTTTAACCGACGCCAGGCAAAGGAAGCAGGTGGTGTAGCTGGCTTCCTCCTGTACAGGGTTTGCCTCTTAATCCCGAGCCCTTCTTTCAATAAAGTTTTACTTCGGCTTCTTGCAGAAAAAGGGTTTCGGAAGCTGGGTAAACAGAGCCTGAGCCTGCACGAAGGGGATTAAGAAGGAGAGGCAGGAGTGGAAGGGAAAATGAGGATATGACAGAGGCCATAGTGAGTTCAAACAAAATTTGGCCTGCAGAACGCAGAAGAAATCCCACTGGTGACAGGTGCCATCTTGTGGGTCATTCTGCCACGCTGCCTCCTGCCACTTTTTATAACGAGAAGGGATAAAGGAGGACTGGGTTCTTAGAGGCTTCGAATTGGAAAAGTAATTCAAAGGGATGTGAACATGGTTGGCTTCAGGGTTTGCATGATACTGTAAACATCAATACTTTGCTTGTCAGCACTCTATGCTATTTAAGAATGCTAAAGTCTGCTATAAATAGAGACTATGTGCGTGTCTAGAAACATGTAATCATAAATAGTATGAATGATAATCAAATTATTTTTACTTTATAGTAATGCAAATAAAATATTCATGCATCATGTAGGCCTAAGAAAGGTTACAGCCTGAAAACTGTGCTAATTAAAATATAATAGCACCGAGGAGTATATGTAAGAGTTACTAATGTCCGTATTTTCCGTCTTTCCTTTAAGATCTTATCTTTAATGAATACATAAAAATGCAATGGTTAGCTGGTACTTTAGCTCTGTGTTTTTTCAGGAAATTTATTTTGAAGGAATGTGCAAAAATAATCACAGCATCTACTAAGACAAAATCAAATGTACTATGATAAAGTATATATAAATTTTTAAAGGAAAATATAGTATTTCAGCCATGACCCTGAATTCCATCAAAAAATTAGGACATCATTAATTCTTAAAGGTTTAATGGTTTAAAAGAAAAAATTAAAACAATATTTCAGTCAAACATGATGGCATATTTCAGTATTATTTTTACACCAAATTTGAGGGTCAAATTTTTTGGGGTTAGAACTTGGTTTTATAAATTACTAAATTTAAGTACTGTCAGACAAACCAAGGCAAACTTGGAACTAGCCTTAATTGCCTTTTCCCATGTTCATACTCTTGTCCAAATTATGTTGCCCTTTTGTGGACATTTATGAAACAAAATTACACTAGAATGAATGAGCAGTAAGTAAAGCAAGCTTCAGGCTGATGCATACAAAAATTCTAAACATGCTGAAGAGTAAGTATTTATGTAGCATTTATGCCAGATGTCAAATAAAGAATATAATCTTATCTGGGTAGGGAAGAGCAGCAGTGCCATCTGAGAGTGCCCATCACATCTATAGGTGAGCTCTATTAAGGATTTGTAAGGAGAAAGCAAATCCATGAAAATGTCAAGTAAATTTGACTGATTAATGCATTTGAAAAGAATCTTTATTCCTTTGCAAGCATTCCGTCATTATGAGGAATATGAAGATCATCGAATGCATTATTCTGTCCCCATGATTCGCTTATCCCTGGTTGTGAATCAGTGCATGAGACTTGACTGTGAATGGCTGGAGTCAATGGCTGTATTGTGCATGGGCATAATTTGTGGTGATGGAAAGTGAGCTCAGTCGTAATATCATTTAGCCATCTAAACTTAGGAAGTTGCATAAATGTGGCTGTGCTCGAAGCTTGCTCTGTGAAACACTTCTTTGCATGTAAAAAAAATTATATACATATTCAGATGCTTAAGGGCAATGAAAAACTTTTGGACGTGCGTTTTGCTCAGTTATTCAAGAAATTAAAAATTATTTGTGATAAAACTTCTTGACGGTTAATTATGACATTTTAATGGAGAAAGCCTTGAATTCTTTCACAGGGTTATAAAAACAAATTAATGTTAAATATGACATTTTCCTTTGGATTTATGACATATTCCCGGCCCCTCCCTCACCCCACACAACGCATACAAAAGGAGGTATTAAGAGAAAAACAGAGATGTTGTGTGTTCTGTTATGAACAAGCTTTGTGATCTCATCCCAAGGTTTTATCCAAGCTTGAACCATCTGGCTTTGAGCTGGGGAAAAGCATGTTAGCTCTCCCCCAGAATTTCAGTGTCAGGGAGAAGGGGCAGAGTGCTTGCGCTTAGTGCCAGGCCCCCTTTCCTCCTCTCCACAACCCTGCTAGAAAGACAGGAGTCAGGCACTGAAAAGCATACCAGGCATTTTTAAACACAACCCTGACATTTCCTCAGCATTTCCATAGCTAAGGCTTTCCTCCTCCCCATCCCCCTACCCCCTCTTTCAATCAAATAAGGCACCCGCTCTCTCATGCCTAGTGCAAAGAAGGAAAGGGAGGAGGGGGGGGGAAAAGTTGGCAATTTAATTCAAACAAAAGAAGCTTGAAATCTATAAGCACAGCAACTCCGAGGCTTCTGGCAAATAGAATTCTAATTAGTATGCTGCTATTTTTCTTTTAGACAGATGAGGGATGCCCCCTATTGACTCTAGCAGGCAGGCTGGTTTAAAAAAAAAAAAAAAAAAAAAAAAAAAAAGAGGGGGGCAGGTGGGGGCTAGCCAGCAAACACTGCAGATTGCAAATTATATCGCAAACCCTGCCAAGTCCCAGCTCTTGGCATCAGATTTTTAATGACACCCTGGAAAAGGGAAAAAGAAGCCCTCAGCTAAGGGATAAAAATGAGGGGTTTTACACTGTGATAAGTCTTTGCTTAAAACCCAAATGGCCAAGCACACATTAGGGTTTTAAAATATTCATAGATAGAAGTGAAAATGAGGATATGAGGATGTACATTTGTTGCTTGGTCAATTGACAACTCATTCTGCATATTAATAAAAGGGATGATCTAATTTTAAAGGGACAGTCTGTCTTTTTTAACCATGACTTTTTGAGTGTTATGAAGCTGAGGGCAAAACATCACAGACGAGGCCAGCGATGACACAGAATGTTGTTTGCTTTTGATGTAGACCTGGTACTAACTACTACTTTGCTCAGGAATTCTGGGGTCTCTAAAAATACGATACCCTTCTTGTATAGTCTCTCTGATGTATGGCTGCTGAACACTTTGATTTTTTTTCTCTCTTTTTTTTTTTTTTTTTTTTTTTTTTTGCAGTGCATGAGGCCCTTCACAGTTGTAGGATTTTATCCACAAACAGTCAGACCATCACAGAGATGGAAGCCATTTCTTTTAATAATTAGGCCACCTTCTGTTCCAGAGAACTGCTTTTGGCATGCCTACCTCGAAATAATGTTTTTTTTTAATATCACACTATATCTCCTCCCCCCCCCCCAATGCTATACAGTAAGTGTTCACAACAGTGTGAGTTCATATTAATATTACATACACTACCTTAGTTCCACACTAATGGAAATCTCTTTGACCAAAGCTTTAAAAAATAAATCTGAGCCCATGCATCTCAAGTACTTCTGTTCAAGATTCACTGTTTGTGTTTGCTTTTTTTTTTTTTTTTAAAAATCCACTTTGAGTCCTTTATACCTGGAAATCCTAGTCACAATTAATGTCATGAATGTGTGTGTCTACCCTGAGTCATGGTTAAGCAGTTAAATACCAAAGGAACTCTGCCTGTTAATAATTAAAAATGCAAAACTGAACTCAAAATTATTTGCATTTACAAAACTGTAGGCACTACAAAGGGAGACTGTGTTGATACCAGTCTCAAAAGTCACAGTTAATATTAATTATCTTTAAATACACACCCGTATACAAATGAAGCACTAACTCAGCTCATGCAGCTAGCAGTATTTCTAACACAGGGCTTTAGACTTGCTGTAGATTTCTATGGCATCCTTTAGGCTGCGTACCTGCAAAAATGATGCTTACGTGATCATTTGCTTTACCTGTCAGTCCTCTCCTAGTATTGTTGCTTTTTTCAACTGGATTTGACAGAAGGGCAGAAATGTCAGTGTTAATTAAGTTCTTGTAAGTTTAGGGAAAATCGGTAGAGGAGAGAAACCCGAATGAGTGCCCCCATGGAGCGGAAGGTGGGCAGGACTCAACCTTTCCACGCTCGCTTTGGGAACAGCTGGCGGGCTGCAGCATCTCCTCGTATGTCCTGAACAGAGCGTATGGTAAGGATATAGATGAGGAACAAGGGCTAAAGGACAGAAATCTGTAGGAAACCAGGTGAGCATAATTTAGATGTGAGTTTTTTAGTACGAGCAGCTAGCTTACGTTTTCTGACATCTAGCCTTTTTTCAGAGCAGTAATTGTGTTGCCTTTGTAAGGAAAAATTGATGCTGGTATTAATAAAGTCTGCTAATCACCATTAAAAACAGAGTATTATCCCTATAACAAGACTATAGTGTTACTAAATGTGCCCTCAAAGTTTATATTTAAAGATACAAATGTGCTAAATTTCCAGAGTGGGGTGTTTCATTATGTGGATCCCATTAAAATTATCAAGTTCATGTAATTGGAAAAGTGATTCCACCACAGTGTGAATGACACAAAGAAACTTGTTTTAGTTGAACACTACCTGTGTTCTCCTACTGAACAATTTTTAAAGAACAGGAACTGAAACACAAGGTATCGAAGGGAAAGGGTGAAGTAGGACAGACTGGAATGGCATTTCTCAGCACACTGATGAATTAGTCTTGGTGCAGAAGACAAGTGTCCAGACAGTGACATTGCTTGCATTTATTCCAGGAAGGGAGAAGAAAACCAGTCCATAAAGCTCCCATTAATTTATCAGAAACTTCCCAGGGTGACCTCTTGGCAGGAGCTAACTGCAGTGTACCTCTCTGGTAGTGGTGGCTATAAGTCAATGGGAACAATTATTGATGTTATGAGAGTGTATGGTTTAATCTATATAGGGCAACATATAAT